CGCGCGCTATTGTCCTTACTGGGGAGTACCGCACTTCACCACCACACCTTCCGGGTCCTTAGTTTTGCCTGTCTCTCAGCTAGTTCTATTTATCTTTTGCCATCAGCAATCACCCATCAACGTAATTGATCTGGGGAGCCCAAATCGGCATTGAACCCAGTTAAGCTGAGGCTTAGTTATAATCACAATCTTAACCCTTTTATTACTGCCTTTTTCTTTTTAATGACAGAGTATGTTGCAAAATATAGCTATTATAAAATTGTTTATGGGAAAAGATCGACTAGCTGAGAGACAGGCAAAACGAAGGACCCGCACGGTGTGGTGGTGAAGTGCGCTACTCCCCGGTAAGGACAATAGCGCGCGTTCGTTCCCCACTGCATACACCTGCGGTCCGGAGTTTTGCAAATATCTCAGCATTATATACGAGTTATATTTCGCAACATACCTTGCTATTAAAAAGAAAAAGGCAGTAAATAAAAGGGTTAAGACTAAGCATTGTGCTTTGGTAGAAATTCTGCTTAGGAAATGAAGTATGGCCAAAAATTACACTTCATTATGACCCGTGTTCACCTACTGCGCTGATCAAGCACTTTTTAATTCGGATCATTGCCTTAGATTTGCCGTCCTATGAAGAAGGCACTTCGATTTGCTTACAATTTCGCTCAATACTTGAGAATTTCTTATTTCCATAAGCATCACTGGGTGCCGGTCCAGATGGTTCTACCTGCAATCCTGGAACAACTTCTCTAGGACATTCCCAGATTACTATCACTTGCAGATGCTAACTTCGTATTTTGAACGTAATTACCCTATACAATTTTCCTGCCGATTCCCCAAACCTGAGAGGATAAAGATCTTTGTTGGCTTGGCGAGTGTCGAATCAGCGATTATGGGTTTATTCCATGCTGCTTCTAAACACTTCAGTTCGCGCTCTCAATACTGAGAACTGGTCTTATTATTTTGGCAAACTTTGAAAATTCTCAAACTTCTATCTCCCTCGTGGAATATGTGACACCGTAAAAGCTTTTATTTTGTTAGATTACATAACCTAAGCAACCATCTGGCAGCCCACCAAAAACAGCAAACGGCAGTGTGCAATGTATATTTAACATCGCCTTAACGTTATAAGACACATCGCTATTGCCAACCATATATTCCGAAGAAAGAATGACAGCCTAGTTTTAGATTTAAAAAAAAGAATTAAAAAGCTTTCAGTCCTGAACTGAATTTGAGGATGCGTCATGAATCTGATTCCAGTCGTAGCGTCACAAGAGTGATTGAGTGCGTGCTAGGCATATTCAATCACTTCCAGGAGCCTACCGATGTGTTTTAGGTCATGCTTTTATCCTTCCAGTCAAGTCCGTAATAAATCTGCCGATACCATGATAATGGAGGACGTGCGTGGCCAGGGACAAGGGATAGAACCGAAGAACATGTGCGGTTTTCCAAGCCCATCTACTCATTACTCGAAGCATGTCTTCTATCTACTGAAAATAATTTCTCAACAGGTAGAATATTTCGAGAGTTGGCGTGAGGATAGTTCGCTTTATTGCCACTATTGCAAATTTTCGAACCGTATTCCTTCAACTTTAAATATGTCTTGAATGAGACTTTAAGAACAAATTTGGACACAAAACATAGATTTCCACAATATCCAGCGCAAAATTGGCAGCTGCGAACATGAACGATATGCTCGGAAGCAACAACCTGTCAGGTTTAACGAAATTCTGGTTTCTCACTTGCTTTTGGAATATGAGCCTTGACCTAGAAACGAAGGAAAGACACTTTTGATGGGCTCCAGAAAACCAAGATTTCCTCTTTGTTGAATTAAAAACGATGAATCATTAGACGAAGATCTGCTAATTATAATGATCCTCTTCCTAATTTACAACGCTTAAGGTGAGCTGAGAAGTATTGGTTTAGCACAATGGCGACTAGCGTTGATTTCGTGGAAAGCAAAAAACCATGAACTCGTATGCGGTTTACACACAGTAAATGCCTCGTTCGCTCGTTCTTTAGAAGAGTGAAAGGTCGTGTTGACACGCAGTCTACCTCACAAAACACGCTCACAGCTAAGGCAGAATAAACTCAATACATAAATTCCATTCGCATATGTTTTTTTTAAATGAGCTTACCCGGCGTTGATAAACAATTTTACTAAGCTGACGTTCCGACTTATTCGTGTTCATCAGAGCCGACAATCCGAGTTGATTGTCCACCGCTCTTCTTTGTCTCGATATGGCGTCTTCGCCTTCGCATCGAGTTGTGTCTTCCTGAGCCGGACCATCTCTCGAAGACAGCCGCTAAGGAGGACACGACTAGACAAGAAGGCGAAGACGCCACATCGAGACGAAGAAGAACGGTGGACAATCAACTCGGATCGTCTGCTCTGATGAAGACGAACACGTCAGAATGTTAGTTACGTGGCTATGAAATGCGCCTGGCTGAGATAAAAAATAGCGTGAGATATGGCACTAGATCACGAATGATCAGCCTGATGTCTGGCGCTACGTCACTAGTGATACAAGACACTACCCAAGACCGACTTTCTGTTAACCTCGGCATTAATTGATAATTCGATGTTTTTCTTCAATAAGCAGACACGAGGTTGTTATTATAGAATTTATTAGGATACAATAGCTGACGTTTCGGCGGTTTCGCCTTTTTCAGAGTCCATTATTCTCCTCCGAAGGGAATCCTCCAAATACTGAACACAATAAGATTTCTTCGACTTGCACTTCTTCAATTGCGCGTACATGGTGTCTTGTTTGCATCGAAGAGAGGGGCGTAGTAGTTGCGTTTCGATGTCCAGTACTAGTTGGCTGTCCCTTGGTAGGCCGCACACATCGTGTAGTCGTTTTCGTTTGATGAAGTTGGGCACGACTCGGTGTTTCAGGCAGCGGCGGAGGAAGAGTATCGTTTGTCCAGCTAGGACAATTTTTTTGTCTTAGTGACAGAACTTCTTTCACAAGTCGGAAATATTCTGCTGGCAGTTCACGCAATTTATCCTAATAAATTCTATAATAACAGCCTCGTGTCTGCTTATTGAAGAAAAACATCGAATTATCAATCAATGCCGAGGTTAACAGAAAGTCGGTCTTGGAAATTGCTACGTGAAGTACCAGCGGAATATTTCCGACTTGTAAAAGAAGTCCTGTCACTAAGACAAAAAAATTGTCTTAGCTAGACAAACGATACTCTTCCTCCGCCGCTGCCTGAAACACCGAGTCGTGCCGAACTTCATCAAACGAAAACGACTACGCGATGTATGCAGCCCACTAAGGGAGAGCGTAGAACTACTGGACATCGAAACGCAACTACTACGCCCCTCTCTTCGATGCAAACAAGACACCATGTACGCGCAATTGAAGAATTGCAAGTCCTAGGAAATCTTATTGTGTTCAGTATTTGGAGGATTCCTTTGGAGGAGAATAATGGGCTCCGAAGAAGGTGAAACCGTCGAAGCGTCAGCTACTTTATCCTAATAAATTCTGCAATAACAACCTTCTACTTGCTGAAGAAAAACATCGAACAAAAGACTACTCCATGCGGTTCATTTTAGCATTTTTGGATTTTATCTAACACGATTCAAGAGTTTTGCAAACTTAAGTTTGCATTTTTCTGTGGTTCAAGGTGATGGTTCTTTCTCAAAATCTTCCACTACACATATGTGTTCTTTGCGTGCCTAACTGAGTGTCCTTCTTGGCTTTAAGTTTCCCATCTGGGTTTTCGCTTGGACGCACAACAGTCTACATGCTGCGTCAGGGTGTTCGTCTCTATATGCTTTAGAAGAGTTCAGGTACGCCATACCGGAATTCGTGCAATCATCGGCTCTACAGCTGGCGTAAATAATGTAGCTTTGCGTTGTACTTAGCGGGTCGCAGAAGTGGTTAACTGGCTGACGTCTTAAAATATTCGGCGTTGTTTCAATCACTGCTGCCGAAATCTCTAAACAGACCCTCTTTAAACATTGTTTTATTGCTAAGGTTTTTTTTGGAGATAAATGCGACCAAGTTTTCCTTAAAATTGTCGTTCTGTGGCCTTATTGTTCCTCTAAATGTGCGCCGAAGAACTACAGTTATAAGAAAGTTATAAGAAGCTATAAGAAATGGCTGTTTGACGGGCCAATTTCAGGGATTCTTCCTGCTAGTGTATTTTTGTTGGTTGGCTTTTTGTGCTATTTGGTGATGTATTCGATTTTGGATAGGTTAGTGCTAGCGTTTAACAATGCAGGCCAGTTTTTCTCCGGTTTCTCTTGGATAAAATTTACGTACTCCAACTGCTGGTTTAGGAATTGAAAACATTTGTCAATCTCCATTTGTGTCGAGCAGAGAACAACGCAGTCGTAGGTATACCTACAATAGAAAGGTTGCCGCAGACCGAGTATGAAGTCTTCAGCTCTAAATATGAAGGTAATGACAAAGTTTGGTGCCAGTAGCTGTAGTATTGTCAACCCTTCCATTTGTGCGGACCCAGGTATTTTCCGGATCCACTGAAGATTGAGTAGTTTAGACACTTTTTTAGGCGGGCCACGAGCTGCTGAATCAGGAAGTCACTTATGTTTATTGCTCCTTCGTTTTGCGTAAGGAGCTAACGGATGGCTTTATTCGGACACATGCGACACATTTCTAAAGAGGATAGCAACGTCAATGGCATCCGTCCCGTACACGTTGTTAGAACTTTCTTTCGGAACGTATCAGTTTTCAATTTCTCATTCTACACTTTCCTACTGCACCCATGGTGTCATTCATTTTGTTACATATGCTTTTATATCGCCTTGAAAGCACCATTACAAACTTATTTCTACTTTTCATTCCTCTGTCACAATCTTGTTTCAATTTTGCCAGACTTCTATAAGTGCTTAGTTTACTGCAGCATTCTATGTAACGAGTATTTTATATCTATATCTATATATATATATATATATATATATATTTATAACATAGTTGTGAATATTCAAATAACTCATATTCAGTGGGTAGTTGAAAAAGAGGACAACTTCAACGTCCATAGTACGGTCCATAATATGGACCCCATGGGCCCCATGGACCTCTCCACCATCTCCGTGGTCCCCACCATGGAGGACCCCATCCCCAAGGTCGACGCCACCAGGGACGGCCCCATCCCCACGGACCTATCCATGGAAAAGGTTGTCGTTTGACACGCAACGTTGCCACGCTGAAGAAAATAACATTATTAGAGTTATTCGAGACACTAAAATTTCGTGGAAAAAATCGGTGCTAAACATAAAATCTTACCCGTCAGATATTCCTGTTTCATCGTTGTTTTCTATGTTGGAGGACATTAACTGAGCAGAGATCACCGCCAACAAGAAGAGCAACACGTAGACACTCAATAGACGCATTCTGAAAGAGTTAAAGTTGAGAGGAATCCAGTAAAAGCAGTAAGCCGTTCGACTATCTTGACCATGGCGAAATTTTCTGAAGTACTAGAATAACGACGATCAAGGTGCAAAAATTCATCAGAAAACGAAGGATATAAAAAAGAAAGAAGGAAAACGTTGGAAAGACAACAAAAAGCAAATGCTATTGCATTGATAACGCTCTTTTAAAAATCTTTTACTATATTAGTAAGAACGGATTAAAAAATGAAACTCCTTACAATGCAGCGCCCCATGACTGCTGTAATGATGGCGCTTCCCTATTTGTTTCTAACACTTTTTTGTTCATAGGCTAAGATACGTAGCGCGGAGTTCTTTCCATAAGCATGGTCTTTCAAGCTGAAAAGGAGTCCGACGCTTAAATCCGGAAGCTCAGCTAAGAGTAAACCAATACCAGGATCCAACACAGTCGTGTTATCGAAGTCGCATGGTAGCAAATCTCTCTCTGATCCACAAGGACGGCGCCTGCCTGGGGTGGTGACGACCTGAGGTAGGCTTCCGCTAGGGTGAACTCGTATCTCCAGAGAACCAGCATGGGTCTAATCCAGCAAATCGCCAGATAATGAAAATTATGCTGGTGCCCGCACAACCAGTGAAGGAGGGCGATTCATGTATCCAAATGTTTCTTTAAATAGTGGACGTCGTCGGTCATATGATATAGAAAGCAAGTGATTTTTTTATATAGCAGAACAGTTTAGATCATGGGAGCTCAAACTTCCTCACTTTGAGGATACGTAGCATTCCAGCAGGTTGTTGAGTGTTGAACATCGATCAAAAGCGATTGTGTACTTGCCCTCTATTGCAGTTTGATTTAGGCCATTGGTTTCCTGTCTCTGCTGCACCAAGCTGAGTTAAACCTTCCGTGAGGCATTGGTGTTTGGATGTAGTTGGATGAGATGTGTATGCTGTTCTTATAATCCCCCTAACTCTTTAAACAACAGGAATCGGTTGACTAGGAACTAAATGTGGAGTGGTTTAGGATCACGTCTTTAATCGTTGTCACTTTAATAAGGATGTGGGTACGTGTACGTCAGTGGTCATGGGCGCTGCAAAATACGCGTGGTAGTTGGTTCAAATCCATGTCCTACGCTTATCAAGCCTCCCACCTTCTGGAGTCAGCAGCTTGGTGCAAGACTTTTCCGGATGCGTTGCGAATCCCTCAAGAACTGACAAATGCTAGAACCTCTATCCTTTTTCCTTCTGCTGGAGATGTGGGAACGACTAGTAAACCGTGATCATGCTTTATCACATCCGTGCATTCACCATGATCTAGTGTATTGCTGGGTATCGAACTACGATGTAGAGCAAGGGTTTTTCGCAACAGCAGGGTCATTGAACGCAGAGAAGAGGTCATACAAATTCTAAATCATGGTGGTCATTTGAAAATAAACCTTTGTCACTGCAAAATCCGATAAGGTAGTTATGGCTGCCTTATGACCAAGAGTAACGATAAAGGGAGACATTATTAAAAAATTTTGTGGCATTCGTGACCTCAGATCGTGCAAATCTAGAAAAAAAACCTTGGTACGAAACGGGTTCAAATGGAGTCTACTCAGGACTGCCTTATTACTGATGGAAACACACAGATGGAGTCTGTTACCAAAGCGACAAATCATTTGTAATATGTTGGATAAGCCGTCTATTCACGAGCTGGATGAGCAACGAGATGATGAAAAATTTGATCACCCTTTCGTAGATACATGTGCTGATGTATTTTCTACCTAATCGTATTGAAAACAGCTTGATCGTCCGTCGATGTTTTCCGTACCAAGAAGAAGTTTCTGCAAAACGTTTGATCAAATTTGGTTCTATACGCCAGACCGGCGAAGATAAAACGCGCAGGACACGCAATGTGTCTTAAGCGACAACCTGTGGGCAAGAGCCGTTAGTGACTAGAGCTCTTGGGATGCCGAACGTACTCCAGGAAAACCATCAACCCGATTGTCAAAGTTTTCACGACATCCCAGGAGAAAGATATGGTGTTCAATGAGTTGCTAGAGCAGAACTTACTGGGGTATTCCTGCATGGGACAGGGAAACGTCGAAGATTTACTGGAGCTCGTACGAGTCACTCGACGATTATCGGGACCAAAGGTGATACAAGTGGAAAGTTAGTAATGAATTGTGACTCTGATTCTGAATGGTTAAAGTCGACGGGTAAATCGAAGAAATGTAGTGGTGTGTGAATTGAAGGAAAGAAGAAAAATTGCACGACGGACGTATTTCTTCTGCCTTATATACAACGAGAAACTGATACGCACTTGATGCTGTGAACGTATTTCTTTTTTCAAATAAGGTTTGCTCGCCGAACAGGATACGACCCGTCGACAATAAATAGTTCTTGCACTTTTTCAGATCTATCAAAGAACACATGATTTTAGAAAAAAAAACGAGTGATCATTAATGCGTTAGACGCTGCTCAAAGTCAAATTGTTTTCGGTACTACTAGTTTTTACTTGTTGCAACTTCTTACTTCAGTATATTATCCTGAAGTTGTGTACATTTCCCAGCTTTTATTTCTGTGAATTTTTGAGATTTAGCACATACAAGCGATGTTTCTTATAACTACCGTAGGTATCAACTTTAGTTTTTCTTCTACTTCAGCCACATATCCTTTTCAGTGATTCTTGGCCGATTTCTGCTTCATTCTTTTTCCGATCTCAGGGATTTCTTAAATAATGTGCCTACTAAAAGTCTATATTTATTTCAATCAAAAATAAGAGTCAACCAGTAGATTCTGGTAAATCTGGGTACTGAAAGAGCACTATATTTTTTTCCAGGGTCTTGCAAAGAACTGGATGATCGGATCTGTAACCAGCAGTGCCCTTGATATCGCCTCCAAACCGGCTGCTAACTGTTGTTGTCCATCCGTTGCCGTTCAAACGTGTTATGTCTTCTACCCACCTGAATTTCAAGATTTTGGCGTATAGAACAGTGATTGATATGTGGTCATTGTTGTAACTGTAGTCAGGACTTTTAATACCCTCTCTCACCAATGCGATACGAGATAATCTCAGCATCGTCCTATCCATAGTGCATTCTATAGAGCTGAGTGGCCTTTCTTTCTATCAGTGCACCCTTCAGAGCCCCGTGGCATATGCTAATTCAGAAAGACTCGTAGAGTTAGAAAGCTGAGCACGGAACAGGTTGCTGCTTATCCACTTCAGCACAACATCCATGCTCTTGTTAACTCCTTAAGTTTCTCATTTACCTTCAGTTAACTAAAGCGTGAAATCACCCATTGTGTCGAGTTCCTTATCTATGTCCACAGCACTAGAACATTCAGAGATATTAATCCCGTTAAACGAGAACTGAATATAAAAGACGAATCAGTTTCTCAGCCAATAAAGTTGAGACAAAGGGTCTCTTTTACGCTCGCCGCACCGAATTTCATTGCTTACGCCTGCACATTTTTCTAAGACCTTCTTTCTTCCATGGCATTTTTCTTATTATATCAATATTGAAATTAACGATGGATTTACTAGGCGAAAGACATCAAACAGAATGAGAGCTTGCCATCGATACCATGTGGGTCGCCATTTGCTCTAGCAACTTTGCATTTTGAGAGATAGCGTTTAAAAGCCGAGCCGCTGTGTTGAGAAGAACTGGCATGAAATTCTACAATTATTCCGGTTTAGTCCAGTCTTGAGCGAATGCTATCCGTTCTCTACGTCAAGATAGATCGCATGTCAGATTTGAAAAGGGGAGTCGTTGTGGCAACTTGTCCATCCTAAATGAATAGGTAAGGAAAAAGGTAATAAGAGATCGGATTTGAAGTCATGGTGATCTTTTTTACTATCTTTTTGAAGCCGTAATTATTCAATAAAAGCACAGAAGGACGATCGTCTTGGTATTCTAACTGCCGGATTGCCGACAAGCGTTACCCCTTTTCCCACTCAGCTTCTGTGTCCTCAAAAAGTTATTTACTCGCGATTATTATTTTTTAAGTTACGTGGCAACACATATGCTGTGGAGATTCCAGTTCGTGTTTCATTCCATTCACTTTCTCGCCTCCATCGCCAACTAATTTCCTCGAACTTCTTCACATGGGCTGAGCTGGTGTTGAAACAAATTGTTTTATGAATGTCACTGAATGGCCCTGAAAGATGGAACTTTTGATTGGTCTAGAATGGAGTTGAACCACCACGGTTTTGAGGTTCAATTTAACACCGTTTCCATAGGTGTGGTCTGCTCATATTTTTAAACTTGTTCAAAACATCATAGAATGCTTCGAGCGGGACGCGTCTTCGTCGTTACTTGGTATTAGGGCATGTACGCGGGAAAGTTTCAATGACATTGCATCACGTCCATTCGGTCGTAAACGTACAATGTGATTCCTTACATGTACAGAGGATTCAGTGCTCGTCTTGAAAACCTTGTTGAAGAAAAAACAAAACTGCCGACTCGTATACTATGATCACCTGTATCACCTGTAGTCCCGTTGATCGTCGAGTTACTAGAGCGGGCGCCAGTAAATCTTCCATTTTTCCCTGCTGCGTGCAAGAGTAGCCCAGTGGGTTCTGCTCACTTTAGAGACTCGTAGAGCATCATATCTTTTTTTCAGGCTTTTCGTGAGAAACTCTGACCATCGAGCCTTCCTGCAGTGTGTTTAACATCCCGAGGAAACCAGTCAGTAACGGTTCTTGTCCATCGGTTGTCGTTCATACGCATTACATGTCTGGACCACCTTATCTTCTACTGTTTGGCATACAGAACCAAATCTGTCTGGTGTCATACGTCCATCCGGCAAAAAAGAAGCAGCAAACACATTTCTTTAAATCTTCTCCCTCTTTCTCTCTCTCTCACTGCAACTGCGAGCTCTCATTAAGCCCTTAACCCATCTCCTACCAAATGCTCACATAAAGACGAGCCTCGTAGTTTCGCGACTACTGCTTCCAGTAATTTTTTAGCGCTTGAACCTGGCAAACTAACAAAACGTAAAGCTTCAATAGTATTCTGTCTCAT